AAAAAATTTACAAAAAAAAAAAATCTAATAAATTTAAAAACACCTTCCAAAAATGTTTTAAAGTCCTCCGCCTCCACGCACATACTAACACAAAGATGCGTCAGCTTCCGAAAATAATTGTGTCACACGGGTTATATATTGCCGTGCATTCTGCGTGAAAGCGATAATTCTACGGCCATTATTCAGAGTTAACTCTAAATTGATGACCTGATGACGCATTGCCTATAGACAATTTTGGGTACTGTAGTTTTTTTTCACAATTTGACAGATGCACGCAAATGTTATGACAGTGAAATAATGAAACCCAGCAGGCTCTAGAGCAGTCATTCTAATCTTACATTCACTATGCAATGAGCTGGAACAAGCAGGCAACTAGTTAAGTCTGAAAAGTCTTGTCCATGTCTGTACTTGACTTGCTTATGCAGCCAGTATTGGGTCCCAGAAAACATAGCAGCTTCGACCTTCACATGACAATACACACCTTTTTCTGGATTTTATAGCGTTTGTGACATGTCATACGCTTACTGGCTTTCTTCAACTCTGTAAAAGACAAAAAGATGAAAATAAATCTGAATGTGAGGAAAAACAACCAGGCTGATTAGCACTACCTAACCACATGTAATATACTGTACACAGAAGAAACAAATTATAAACACAAACGTTTTGACCAAAATAAAATGTATGTTGTTGAACAAGAATCAAAGTCCAGCTGGATTTGATGTGGTATGAATAACCAAGCATCCCAAGAAGATGAGAAGATGGAAGCGCTGGAGACAAAGGGGAGCACTAACAGGGATTGTTTCAGTAGGGAAGTCTGCCATAAGGTGCTAATATGCTGTACACACTAGTACAGTGGGAGGAATTTATGCTAAAGCTGGCCATATACTATTCGGATTGCATCCAGTTCTTGATGAACCGATTGATCAGCTGGTCAAATGGGCTGGATGGAAAATCTTTGAACGAACAGAGCCGACAGCCAATGAGCTGCTGGCACTATTGGGGCATTCTGACAGCGGCCGCCATCAGAATATAATGCAGACAGCAGGAGATTACTCAATCAACACTTTTAAGCGTTGACGGAAGAACCTGTAATATTTTCTGCATTTAGTCCACGGGTTGATCGAAGAAAGTATTACAGTGTATACCGAGCTTAACTAATCGCTAAGCTTTATCTTTGTTATGGGTCTTTTTTTAAAAGAGTTCTTGCAATACATTAGTGTTTAGGGACATTTCACATAATTTATCAACTGTGCAGTAACTGCATCCAGCATTTGCAACATTAACCCCTTCCCAACCGATGACTGAATTAGCCAGTCAATATCGTTCAGTTTGTTAACGACCGGTAACTGTATAATTCCGTCATTCGGTACAATAACAACTGTTCCCTGAAGGGGTCAGAGGCAAAGCTTCAACAGCAGATTAGGTGGCCACAGCGAGAGCTGATCACTGTTATCGCAGAGACCGTGACAGTCACAGAGCTGGCAGCAGCTCACTGTTTTGTCAACTGCTAGCCAGCTGTGTGTTACTAAAATTATACAAAATATCTCAGGGGAGAATACTGTATTCTACTCAGAGATACTAAGTATCAAAGCTCCTGTAAATAAAATAAAAAAATAACCCCTTAGTGCTGCCTGGTTTAAAAAAAAAAATTAAAAAAAAAGGAAGAAAATAATAGCCGAGGAGGCTATTTAAGATAGCAGAAAAACATTCCAGGTTCTAAAATTGTGTCACACCAATATTGTATTTCATTCCTTGTATTTTGTAACCTAAAACTCCCGAAATAAACTGAAATCCCAGACATGATATACCCCATAAATCAGGACAAATACAAATGTATTATTAATTACTTTGTTAGCTACACATTACTATTGCCAAACCTATGAAAATGTGTTTGGTTGTTTTTGCATTCTTTATGAGAAAAAAAAAAATGTATCTATTCATGCGTCAAATCACATTAAAGCCCATTGTGTCCTTTACAAAACGGTATATATAATGTGTGTAATGCATGAGGAAGATGAAAATGATGGTTAAACAAACGCATAGCAAAAATGGCAAAATTGCTACGTTCTGCAGAAGTCAAAACATTTTCTGAAGCTTCGTCACTAAGGGGTTAAAAGGCCTGCCCTCACACATTCTAAAAATGTGCAAAGCAAAGATAATTCAACGTCACACCCTAAAGCTGGGTATACACACATTTTATTTGAACAACCTGTGCGGGCTTATGAGCTTGGATGGAGGAATCCCCTTTGGTTTCTTCTGTATTCTGATTGGTTGCATGCTCCTTTGCAGATCAGAATTTGACAACCAGTTCCATCAATCTTCTGATCAAGTGATGCTGGTCAGAAAGGTGCCGACAGCAGCATCCACTGTGTGGATTTCACCCAGCTCGTACTGTGTATACCCGACTTAAATCAGCTAAGCTCTTCAGGGATATTGAACTGTCCTCCTGGAGGTTCCCTGGAAGTTGGAGGATTTAGAGATGATTCTCCTGACGAAGGCATTTAGGAATGAAACAAACTAGAATAATAAATCTGTCGCTATTGCACTTGACATCCGGGATGTGACATTTTAATAGATGCTGATGATGCCACCAAATTGAAAAGGTGCCCTATTAGTTTTATATATTTTGGGAGCAGTTTACTTCTGCTTTAACCACTTCGCAACCCGTTTAAAACAGACGGCGCTTTACAATAGAAGCGATTCTGGCGGCTCAGCTGCCGCTAGATCGATTCTACGGGCCAGTAAAGTGCCCCCCCACCAATCTCATCCCCACTCTATGGGACCGGGAATGATACACATTACATCAAATCTGGTCCTTGAGCGGTCATTGCTGGGCTCCTAAACGCCAGCAATAAGCTATTGAAGTGCGATCTGCACTTTAATAGCTTACTTAAAGTGGAAAGGTGACAGTAGAGGTTTTTAGGACCCCCAGTATCACCTTAAAGAGGACCTGTCACCAGCAATATGCTATCACATGGGGGGCTTGTAAGCCCCCCTATGTGATAGCTAGGGATGCACAGATACTAGTATCAATATCGGTGCCGATTCGAGTATTTGGGCAAGTACTCATACTCGCCCAAATGCTCCGATGCCTAGCACGAGTACTTCCGGTATCAGGAAGCCAGGCAGCGAGTCATTACACGCCACCTGGCTTCCTGAATGCGACTTCCATTACTAAAAAGTATCGGTAATTGGTATCGGTGAGTACTAAAAAAAAAAGTATCGGTAATCGTACTCAGACCCAAAAAAGTGGTATCGGTGCATCCCTAGTAATTGGTATTGGTGAGTACCGGGGAAAAAAATTATCGGTACCAAAATACCGGCATCAGTGCATCCCTAGTAAAAGCAATTAAATTTTTTTATTAAAATCGCCCGCATATTACGGTAAACACGCGTTGGGTTCGCCTACATACAAAATCGACAATCGCACTACACATGTTGGATATCACCGCACACGCCAGAGCAATAATTCTAGGGCCAATATTTGCGTGCATCTCTAAATTGATGACCTGTAGGGGCCTTTAAAGAGTTGTTCATGGACTTTTTGGGGTACTGAAGTTTGTCGCCGTTCCACAGACGCACACAAATTTTGTAACCTAGGCATGTTGGATATCTATTTACGTGTACCCTTACCTTTTATATTTTACAAACCAATGGGTACTATATTGTGTTTTTGGGCACTAAATTTATAAAGTGCATTTTTGACAAAATTTTGGGGGTTGATAAAGAGTTGCGCTAATTTTTATTCTATAGGGTGCTGGCTTTCAGAAAATATATGTTTGGGGGTTTGAAGTAGTTTTCAGGCCTAAAATGTGGAATAGGACAAAAAACGAAAAAAAAAGGCCTTGGCAGTGAAAGGGTCCTTAAAGCCACATTAAAGGAGAACTATGATGTGAATGCTTTTCACTCACCTCATAGTTCTAGCCGACTTGTGACAATGAGACTGTCACAGGTCGGCTCAATAGATCGGGAGGTGAGCGAACACATACCGGCGTTCGCTCACCTCTCGATCCTGTCACGGATCTCTGCCGTGACAGGGGAGGGGCTGGATTCCTCCCTCCCGTCACGGATCTCTGCCGTGACAGGGGAGGGGCTGGATTCCTCCCTCCCCGATCCGCCAGCGCTGACTGGTGGATCGGACGGGGGAGTGGGCGGGTACAGCTGGCTCTGCCTCTAGATAGGCAGAGCCAGCTGTCAGTCACGCAGCTGGGCAGATCCCGGCACAATTGTCGGGATCCGCTTCAGCGTCTCAGTATACCGCGAGCTACAGCTCACGGTATACTGGGCCTAGGGTGACGGGAGGACGCTAGTTTGTGTCCTCCCGTTACCCTGAGAACTATGGGGAAAAGGCCTAACCACATAGTTCTCATTTAAAAAGGCAACGTTTTTTTCCCTCAGCCCAACCTTAATTAAAGCACTTACCTTAAATGATGTCTCTTAATTCGATCTTTCCTGATGTTTTCAGCCTTCTCGCCAGCGTTGCTGCGGGTCTCTGATCCAGCGCTGACTCCTCTGGGCTTGCTGGCACTTCCTGTCCCACGGTGTCTGCATGCGTGTGCACACACGTGTCCATAGACTTACCTTGCGTCTCTCCTCACGTCCCTGCCGAAAATGTGAACTGCGCATGCGCCCGCCCCAAGATGATTTGCAGCCGCCCGAGAATTATTACATTTTCGGATGGGAGCGCGCAGGGAAGACACAGGTAAGTTTAAACCACTTTTAAAGAGTTTAAAAAAAAAAAAAAAAACTTTTTGCATATATCTACTGCTTGCTAGCAGTAGATATATGCAAAAAAAGCTGAGGGTTTAGAAACCCTTTAAGGGGTT